CCGCATCTGTATAGTCGTGATTCGTTCGATCTTGCTATATGGCTCTGAGACATGGTCAGTAAGAGTGGAGGATATCAAGAAGTTATCTGCCTTTGGCCACTCTTGTCTACGGTACATATTACGGATCCGTCGAGCGGATAAGATATCACATGATCGCATCCACCTTTCACTTGCATAAATAATGTTATCATCGAGCGTCGCCTTCGCTGGTTAGAGCACGTTCATCGTCGTCCACCACAGGAGTTGACGCATAATTTTTTACTTGCAAAACCATGTGATGGATGGATGGCAAAAGTGGTGGGCCAATTAAGACCTGGGTTGATACGATCAGAAAAAATTTTAAATGTATAGGTGGACCAGCAATATATAGACGATGGGAAAAGAAATGGCTTCTATTACTGTCAACGACGGCATCAGATCGCGCAGCTTAGAAACGTCTTACCCTTGTAGCTGGGGGATCCAGCCTAACCGGTAATGATGAGAGTTGTTAGAAGAAAATGATGATGATTACTGGTTTACTGGTTTAGAACATGAAGAAATTCTATAAATTTATAGATTCTACATATGTAAGAGTAGGAACTAGAAATGGCGATTGCCAAGAGAGATATAGCGTCCAAATTTCAAATATTTTAATATTAAAGACTCGGATCCAAGAGAAAAAAGAACTTTCATTGAACTTGATATCAGTGAGAAATATATGACTGCTGTTTAGTAGAAAATTTATAATATGCAAAAAAATATGAGCGAATTAAAGAGTGAAATTTAAACACAAATGAAATGCAAAAAATTGAAGTTTTAGCAATTTTTGATGTGTTTTAAATTGTCACATCGAGTAAAATAATTAAGGAATGAAGTATATATGAAATACTATAAAATTATCAACTTCCTGATATTTCTTAAAAATGGTAACTGAAATTCCTGGACCATTTCCAAACGATTTATATTTATAAATGGAGCGCTGAACAATACTCACATTAAAAATCTCATAACTAATGGCTACTTAACAGAAAGTATTGCAAAATGCAAAAAACGAAATGTAACAAAGTTTTTAAAATCAGCGATAAAAATGAATCCAACTGAAAAGTAAAATAATATTAAGTGCTAATAATTCGAATTCCAATCGTATCATTAACAAATAGTAATAATAAACAATAAATTTATCATCTAAGCAATTGTTCCTCACTTCCTATCTATCTTTACTCCTTCTCTCCTTTCATTATTCATTATTCCCATAATTGCAGTCAACAATTATTATTGAATGCAGTCGTTATATATTGTCTAATCTACGATCATACTACGCACGCTGTCTTAATACAGTCTCTATCTCAATATTTCGAAGACTGATTAGGCTTGTTCCACTGGCTACAAGGGTAAGACGTTTCCAAGCTGCGTGCCATCATTATTAACAGTAATAGAAGCTGCTCTTTTTATATTTGTTGAAGGTGCGTTGTAATGGACGATGGACAACATTTATGAAAAATTCAGCCCGAAGACCATCTTCTCCCGGATCTTCTTCCGGTGACTTATTGGCCTTAAACTTATGGACAACGGAGATTATTATTTCTTCTTCTGTTGGCACTTCCCAGTTGTAAATGTATGGTTCGGCGAACGTATCAGCTATGTCCAGATCAATAGATTGCGCAACATGGCTAATTTTGGCCTCAAAGAATTTCTGCCATCTTATAAGGCGATACTTAATATTCTTAATAGGCACACCATTGTTATCCCTTACTATTTTTCTGATCATTCCCCGAGTCATAGTTGCTTTATGAAGAAGGTGGAATATTTTCCTATTATTGCTTAATCGACCCGTCCCCATTCTCAACACCATGTCACTCCGATAGTGATTTCTGTCCCACCGTGCTGCTTTCGTTGCAAATCTTCGAAGCATCCGGTAGTTAGGATCACCTGACATTCGTGCTTTTACAGCTTGTTGAGACAATTGGACAATTGCTTTCGATACCGCTCTAGCGTACTTCCTACTAGTATGCCACGTGAAAGCTGATTTTCGGAGACATTTCTTTAGTTTGGACCAGTATTTATTTGCTGCTCCAGAAAAGTCATTGGTATTTATTCCACTGAGCTACTTCAATAATTAGGTTTGATAATTAGGTTCTTGGCGCACCATTCTCTGAAGCCATATTTGCCAACTATCGAAGTCATCGCAGTGGCATTATAAACTATGCGCGCATTCCAGTCTCCCCCAATTGTGACCATGTGATGTTTCGGTAGAAATTTTGAATGCAGTTGAAGTTTCGCATAGAAGTTATCTTTATCACGATCATCTGGAGATAAAGTTGGAGTATAAGCACTGATGGCCGAGATATTGCAGAAGTTACCCTTAAAACGAATCACTTACCGGTTTACACTCAATCAAAGCGGAATGGGCCTTGTCAGATATGACGATCCCTATGCCATTTCGTCCCGAGTTATTCGAAGCACCATAGTGATATTGGCACTATCTGTGCTATGAACCAGGATTAGTAATTACTCGAGACCCTAAATGAGAAAGAAGAACCCCCGACAAGCAGGCGATATCCATATTTATCCATATCGATATTTAGAAAGAGTGTGTACAGTGATTGGTTACCTTGCAACGTCCATAAGGGTTTTGACGTTGCAAGGTAACCGATACAAGGCTGATACGGCTAATACCTTGCCGCGCGTGCAGAGGTTCCCCTTGATAGGTTTCGAGCATTCACCCTGGCTTGCGAGCACATTTTATTTACCAGCCTTGGAATCGCTTTACACCCAGATTGTATACTTATCGCATGTACTACCGGGCTGGGAGCATCATGCGCGTCGGAAGACGCGGACGCCGTATCAAGAATATCTGACCCTTTCACGATAGTGTACTTGGGGCTAGAGTTATAGCTGAGCCTCCAGCAGCCACCTGGATTTTTGTTATAGCAGGTTTACTCCCATCAATGACAAGGATAATATCATATTATTTTATAATATTATTTATTAATAGCATAAGATGGGAGAAAAATAAAAAAATTTCAGAGATTTAAAAAAAGAAAGAAAAAGAAAAAAACAATTCAAAAGAAATCGAAGAAAATGCAATGAGCTATGTTTGAGTAAGTTTACACAATGGTGAGAAAACATTGAAATCTGTATGTATAATTTATAAGTGAGTTTTTCAACAAAATTCTGAGATTATTAAAATGTTTTTTAAATTTTTAAACAAATTTTTTTCTTCGACAATTTTTAAACAGATTGTTTGACTTATTTATTATCTCTTCTTGATCCGTAATCCAAGTGAAGAATAAAGTAAGTGTTAAAATGAAATTTCACGAATAATATTTAAGAATATTTAAAAAAACCAAAAAATTACGAACTATTTATAAATATTCGTCAAATTTCAATTTTAACTTTTAATAAACGATCGGATAGCAAAATGATTCTTTTTTGAATAATTTGTTATGTCTTAGTAAAAATAAGTATGAAAAGTATGTTATTTCTATTTCTATTTACGCTCGTTCTTGATGGTTAGAAATTTTTCTAAAGAGAAACTTAGCGATAAAAACAATGACTAGCTACCAGGTCCAGCCGAATTTTTTAATGACAGATTTATTTAGGAGGATAGGGAATAATCGAATTTTTGAATATTGACGCAATCTAAACCGTTATCCATTCGGTTTTCGTTTCTTAAATGTTGCAAACATTTAAGTAACCTACCTAATTCATGGTATCTCTTGACCATTTCTTTCTTGAAAATTCAATTTTTCTTCCACAACGAAAATGCCTTTTCTGGCTTCAGTAAATCTCACCGAATGTATTCACGTGATCTTTTATTTTCGAAGTTTTTCCGCATAAAATATCAAAATTTCCGATTCCTGAGAGATCGGTCAAAAAAAGATGCGTTGCATAATAAATGCAAGAATTATGCAACATTAAAATCTGTTGCAGTAAAAATCCGAATTTGGACCACTACGAAAAGAAGGAATTTTATTAGCGATATTACTAATGTTATTACTATTATTGTTAATGTTAATAGCGTATCGAGACTATATGATAATGAACCACTCGGGAAATATTCAGCAGAGATTACTGAGTAGTATGGTTGTTTCGATTTGCTTCGATCATTATTGGTTCAATTCCCTGATACTGGCAAACATGCCACTAAAAAAATCCGAGTTGCACCGACTACCCATCTGTGAAACCAAGTGGCACCATGACAAAATTTCTAGTCGTAATAGCGAGAAAAGCTAGCCTAATAACCAGAAATGAGGGCTTATTTATTTAACTCATCTCATTTCACATAATTTATTTACTTATTTTTTTATTAAATTGTAATTATTATAATTACAGTTTTTCTAGTTTTTTAATTTATTGTTGATCTCATTAATGAATATTTGTGGAATTTGTTGAAATTTTCGAAAGCCGTTAGAGAAAGGAACCATTTCAAATATATACATATATATAACTGCAGAGAATTGTTTTAAATATTTTCCTCATTAAAGCTTTCGAAACGGATGATGGGAATTAGCTTCATGAAATACTCAAAATATTAGTTATGCTTCTTTGCTTTATTGGTTATATGTAAGTAAATTTTAATTAAATTTCGAGAAACTTCTTATCGGTTATATGTTTCTGTTATGCTAACCTAAATTATATATACCTGGAATTCTACTTGAAATCGTATGCCATGCCATATGGCAATATGCAGTTACATTTCAAATAATTTTAACTCAATGATTCCACAGTAAAATTTGCAGAAAAAATATCTGGAGATTGGAAAGAAAAATGAGGTAGAAGATATCTCTTGATATATTTTTAAGAATAATTCTTATACCTTTTTTTCTAATCACTTTCTAATTGATTTGCATAAAGGAATAAAGTAAACTATATAAAAATTTTGCGTGCAGTTTATAAGCACTTACTATTTGAAATTACCATTTACCAAGGAAAGTTGCTTTATGGCCAATTAATTTCAGCTTGTTATATTTTTATGGAATGAAAATCGATGTTGAATACTTGGCTATCCTCTAATTATTCATCGTCATAATTTGATTCACGAATAAATTTGATTGAATAATAGAGTAGTTCGCCTAGAATAGCAATCAACTCGAAAATTTGTTTCAGAATAATATAAATAAACAATTTAGGAAAGCATAAGAAGAGAATTTAGCAAATAAAATTTCAAAAGCATTTGGTTAGTATTTTTTCCTGAAAAACTAGTAAATTCCTATAAATTTTTAAAGATCCTTTCATAGATTTGTTTCACTTTGGCATTAATAATTATTTTAGTTATAATTATTTTAAATTGAATTTTTTAAAGTTTTTTTATTTTAATTTATTTTATTTTATTTCGTTAATCAAAAATTATTCATTAAACGAACCAATTTCCAAATAAATTTTAAAAATTATAAAGGCGATTTTAACAAATTCAAATAATAATTACATAATGATCCTTGAAAGCCACAACATTTGTCTTTTAGGGATTATTGAAATCTTTTCTTATATTCACCAATTTAAACAAAAAGGACGACCGGATATAATGACAAAGATCGATTTATAAAACAAATATCTCAAAATGTTAAAAATGTGGTCAGACAAATAGAAAAATTTTCGTTATAAGAACTACTTACTTCAAACTTTTTTTTTAAAGAGTCCTCACCATTACTGGTTGAAATCGCTCCGCTAGCTTGTCGTATTGGAAAGAGACCCTAGGCTATAGAAGTATACATATAGAGTCGCCAGCATCACTCGGATTTTTGAACAGGTTCACTCCTAAAGGGAATCGAACCTCAGCATCGGCGCTCCAAATTTAGCGACAACCCACTGAGCCATTCTATCTCCTATTTCACTCTTCGCAATCAAAAAAATAAAAAGCGACCATTATTTCTATTAGGCTCACCTAATTGGCTCACCTAATTGGGATGTCCGGTTGAATTTTATCAGGTGCTGGTTTAGTGGGAGAAGTATGTTTCGCCATCTTTTCTTCTTCTAACAGCTCTCATCATTACTGGCTAGGCTGGCTCCAACGGCTAAAAGGGTAAGACGTTTCCATGCTGTGTGATCTGATGCCATCGTAATAGAAGCCACTTTTCTTTTCATCTGAGTCCATATATTGCTGGTTTACCTTCATGTTCTAAATCTTTCCTTGCTGTATCAATCCAGGTTTTGACTGGCTCACTTCGCTTTTGACGACACCCATCATAAAGTTTAGCAAGTAGCGAAATATGCGTCAACTCCATCTTCAAAATTGACATCTCCAAATTCTTTATAATTTTTTTTTTAAATATCCACTTCGTAAACAAAATTTCTTATATATATGATACGCATCGGATTCGAAGTGGGGCTATGGCGATTTCTTGATCAAACTGTTGGAAAAATTGTTTGGTCCACTTCGTTCAAATTTATTTTGATTTTTAATTTTTCATTTTATAATGCCTGTTCTTTCAAAAAAAATAATCGTCAAACATGCAGGTAAACGATTATGATTAGTACACGAATTCAGCACAGCCATTAATTCTGTATACTTGTACTAAATCGAATTTGAAAAAGGTGGCGTTCCTCTTCTTCTAATGCGCACTACTTGTGGTTTATCTGGCTAATAGATTAAGAATTTTCAAGTCTCATTCTGGATGTATTTTGCTTGTCACTAACCATTTCTGTTCATAAAACAACGGTTGAAAGTTTAATCTTTCATGCATATAATATATATAATAAGTGCAGTGCTTATAATATATATATTTTTTATTTTTTTTTAAAGAGTCATCACCATTAGTGGTTAGACTCGCTCCACTGACTTGTCGCATTGGACAATAAGCCAGGGAGTCCCTTGGCAATAGATATTTAGGTGAGTCGCCAGGATCACCAGGATTTTTGGACAGGTTTACTTCTACGAGAAATCGACTCAGCATCGGCGCTCAGAATTTGGCAACAACCTACTGAGCCATTCTATTACCATATAGAATATTTAATTATTATTTTATAATTTTTTTGCGAAAATTTTTCTCACATTTTAATGCTTTCTCGCCTTCCGTAAATACTAATACTCGTCTAATGTCCATTATCACGCGTGTCTTTGTCCATAAATAATGTTACACATTTGTCCGTGTGTTCTACTCATCAGTAATAAATGCTGTTTTTTTTGTCCTTTCTCCTATCAAATGTGGTAAGATAATTGGAAAAAAAAGGAAAGCATAAATGTCCTTTAATGTTAGAGAATTATTAAAAATATACTGTAATATATAATATTGAATTGGCTGAAAAATTTTCGTTCAATTTCATGCTATATTGAGAACAATTCAGGTAATGAATCTTGGTGGTGATCTCTTGCCGAAATATCAACAAGAGACTCCAAAAACTTCGCCTCATATCATTTTACATTATTCGACATTCAAAACAATGTGGGATTGGTCAATTCTTGCTCTTACTTTTTACACAGCTTTTATGGTACCTTTCAATATTGCCTTTAAGGTTCGCTCATTCATTTCTTATGAACATTTTTTTCTAGGATATATCTTTTATGATTTTTAGATTATGCAGTTATATCCCATGTAGTAGTAAGTATATTCAAAAAGTGGAGCGGAGAAAAGGAAGAAGAAATTTGATAGTGACAGGGAATGTTGCAAATCACTGATGTGCAATTATGAAATCAACCATAATTTTATGTTTAGAAATTTAAAAAAATAGATTATAGAATAATTTTTTAATGATCTAACTAAATGATAAATGAAGATGTGCATCCCGAATCTTGCAGCATAAAAGCTCATCCTTATTTTTGCCTTGCTTTCCACGTTGTTCATAAAATTTTGGAAAGTATATAATAGAATTTCAATAATTTTTTTTTTATTTTGATAGTCTCAAGATTATCAAGATTATCAACAAAGAAGAGAGATTTATTATTATTTGAATTTATTTGGTTTTTTAGTGATATTAATAAAAATCACCCATGCTTATTAATAAATTTAATTTAGACTAGAGACCATCCACCGCGCGGTATCATCGATTTAGTGGCTTTAATGGACTCAATTGTAGATGTTATTTTTTTCGCCGATATTTTATTAAACTTTCATACAACATTTGTTGGACCTGGCGGGGAGGTTCGTCAAGTTTATTGGATTTTCGATTAGTATTTGAATTCAAAAATTATCATTCATTAATATTTTAATCGCTAAATCTTCCAACATAATATTATCACTTAAGTCGAAATTTTTTTTAAATTTTAATTTTATTTTCTTTAATTTTACTTGGTCGTGCTGTGAATCCATCTCATGTGATTCTCTGGTGTGAAAGTTTCTCGTTATATCAATGGTTAGCGGACAGAGCCTAAGCCAGAAATAGTGAGTGCTAACCCTTTTACTCGCAAAAGTTGCGCAAAAAAAAAAAAAAAAAAACAAAAGTTATGTCGTGAACACGAGTAGTTTATTTGTGCTTATTGCTCAATTCTGCATTTATAAAAACTATTAATAAATTTTGTTTTTAAAATCTTAGAACAAAAGGAATTTTTGCATGCTTTGATTTTCACAAAGCAGATGCCTGTATATCAATATTTATGATTTGATATGTATGATCTGTTTGATTCATTTCTAGTTTATTTTTATGGTTTTTAATGGTTTTTTTTAGGTTGTTATCGAACCAGCAATTATTCGTAGTAATTATTTTAAATCGTGGTTTTTAATCGACTTACTTTCATGTCTTCCATATGATATTTTTTACATGTTCAAGCATGATGATGAGGTTTCTTATACTCTGCTTTTCTTATAAAGCTTCTTTGAATCCCAGTTAATATGTAAATCTTGTTTTATAGCCGTTTTTTCGAAATTTTTCTACTTGTTTTTTCGAAATTTTTCTACTTGTTAAACTTTATTTTTTGATTTTTGGCCAAATCATGTATGATTTATCGAAAAAAGTTTCATGACCATCAACTTTGGAGAATCGTTTAGAGCAAGCAGAAATAAATGACAGAATGTAAAATTAAACATTTAAAAGATGGAGATTCAGATGAGAATTATTATTGAGCTGAATATGCCAATTAATTTCAGAGGATAGGTTCGTTGTTTAGTGCACTTAAAGTGGTCCGTCTTCTCAGACTTGGCCGGGTTGCACGTAAACTTGATAATTATTTGGAATATAGTGCTGCGACCTTACTTTTACTACTGTGTGCATATGTGCTTGTTGCTCACTGGCTTGCGTGTATTTGGTTTTCTATTGGCGAGTATGAGGTCAAATTAAGGGTCAGCTATTCTTATTTTATCAACAGCTATTTGCTTACGAATATGAATGAATTTTTATTTTTTCAATGCTTGTTAGACTTTTATGATCATCGTATCGCATCTCCCTTTCAGTTGCATAAATCCGCAGTATGCTATACTGTAATTTGCAATAATATCTGATTGAATTCTGGTTAAATATTTCCGAATATTTTTGCTTTTCTTGAACTATTATTTTAGAGTACCACTTTCGACAGTTCAAACATCCTCCTAAGATGCTTTCTGATTTCATATCCCACCTTTTTTTCTATAAACCTTTCTAAGTCTTTAATTTTTATCAAAATTTTCATGCAAAGTCATCATCTATCCATAATCTATATTTTAATCTAAGTTAATTTTTTTTGCGGTATCTGAGCCAAATTTTCATAAAAATTTTCCTTTCTTTATTTTAGATGTCATTTCTGCTTGATGAATATTTTAAATTTGGATTTCGCTCTCAATGTTCATAAATTTGACTAACAACATTTGACTAACATAACGAAATAGATAAAGGATTCATAATTTCTATAAACTGTGCTTAAATTTCAAAAAATCTTCATATAAAAAAGGAAAAAAAAAGAAGGCAAAAATTTCTTTGTGAGAGATGAAAACTTAGAAGAGATCTTTTTTTTATTTTAGGTACTTTGCAGTTCTCATTTTGTACGTTCAATACTACCACATATAATTGAAATTTTTTTTAAGTATATCGATTTATCTCTTCCTGAGGGATGGCTCATCAAACTATCCAAGGAATTAAATTCGCCTTATAATTTTACTGCAATGAACCGGTCAAAATTAATTGGCGGTCCATCAAGATCATCAGCCTATATAAGCTGTAATTTTTTCTTAATTATCTTTATAATATTTTATTCATGCCATCATATTCAGGTAATCATATCCTCTTGATGCTGAGCTACTAATAAATTTTAAATAATCTAAAATTCCATTTCCACTTGTACATCAATATTTTAATCGCATAATAAATATTGCTTAATTTGATCTCGATTTCCTTTCCTCTAACAGAAAAAAACTATTTCAATTATCGCAATATTCTTTGTAAATATGCATAAATATGCATAATCTCCATTATGCCCTTTGTGTCTTTATAAGAACTTCAAAAAATTACACTTCAAAAATAATGGCTTGGATGAAATATATTTATATTATTAGCTCAAATAACACAAAGTTTTGAGGTTTTTAGAGATTTGTAATTTTTAAGGAAATATTTTCTCATGCTGTTCATTAGAATTATAGCGTTATATTTTACGATGTCATGTATGTCAACAGTCGGCTTCGGTAATATCGCATCGACAACTGATAACGAGAAAATGTTTGGTGTTTGCATGATGATTATATCAGCACTCCTCTATGCTGCTATTTTTGGACATATGACTACGATAATTCAACAAATGACATCTGCAACAGTCAGGTGAATTGATACAAATATTATTGTTGAAAAATAACAGAGATCAAATATTTCTAGTCCGATTATTCTATTCTTAATTAAATCTTCATGCCATTGGCTGGGAGTGGTTCGTTCATCGCCTTTTCTTAGTTAAAATGGGCGGTAGGTTTAATTATATCATATAATACATCAAGGTATCTGTGAAAAATAGTTAGATGAGTACATCAAAGAATAATTTTTGTGAAATCTGGGCCAAAGTCATTAGTAGTTACTAATATAAATAAAATACTAGTTGTTAGTGATTTCTTAATTTGCACTCATAGCAAGAGAAAGTTTAATTATGGCCATTATTTCAACTAATGTTGATTAAAGCTATTTTTAAATCTACTTCGGGGAACAAAGTAGAAAGATATTATTAAATATATATTATTAAATAAAGTAGAAAGATATCAATATATATCATTGCATTTTAAGGTACCACGAAATGATTTCGGATGTACGAGAATTCATCAAACTTCAAGAAATTCCTAGAGAACTTTCAGAGCGTGTGATGGATTATGTAGTTAGCACCTGGTCAATGACTAAAGGAATTGATGCAGCGAAAGTAAACTTTTATTTTAAGTAAATTTTTTTCAGTTAATTCGTTTATATCAATGAACTGTTTCTTCATATTACCACTGACAAAGTTTTCTTATGAAAGCAAGTAACATCGAATGATTAAATATGATTCAATTCTTTGATCTTGAGCGGGTGTGCTTTTATCCCGCTATTATTTTTCACGGAATATTCTTAAAAATTCAATAAATTACGAGAATTTTTTTTTTAATTTTTTTTCTGTATTTAAAAAACAAAGAATTCAAATAAAATATATATATATATAATTTATAAGAATTTATTATGAAATAATTGTCTGTCCTTGATAGGAGTAAACCTGTCATATCAAAAACCCGGGTTGCTATAACTCTATCCCCAAGGGACTCTACGGTGAAAAAGTCAGATATCCTTGATACAGCGTCCGCGTTTCCCGGCGCGCATGATATCCCAGCCCGGTGGTACATGCGATAAGTATACAATCTGGGTGTAAAGCGATTCCAAGGCTGGTAAATAAAATGTGCTCGCAAGCCAGGGTGAATGCTCGAAACCTATCAAGGGGAACCTCTGCACGCGCGGCAAGGTATTAGTCTTGAACATCAGAACGCTTATAGACAAGGTAAGCGATCACTGTACACACTCTTTATAAATATGGTGTAGATATCGCCTGCTTGTCGGAAATTCGTCTTTCTCATTTCGAGTCTCGAATAATTACTATTCCTGGCTCGGAGCAAAGGTACTGGTTATGTCACTGTGGTGCTTCCGGGTAACTCATTGCGAAATAGCGGTTGTCATGTCTGAAAGGACCATTACGCTTTGAGTGGAAACCGGTAAGCGACTTGTTTTAAGAATAAGTTCTGCAATATCTCGGCCACCAGTGCTTATACTTCAACTTTATTTCCAGTTGATCGTGATAAAGATAACTTCTATGCGTAACTTCAACTGCATTCAAAATTTCTACCGAAACATCACATGGTCATAATTGTGAGAGACTCGAATGCGCGCATAGGTTATAATGCTGCTGCGATGAGAAGAGCATGAACTTTTTGTTACTAATACTTGCTTCCGGCATCTTAGAAAACATCTAGTCATGTGGAACTCCCCAGATAATAAACACTTCAACCAGATTGATTATATCTTAGTCAGTTGCCGTTATAAGAGTTCCGTAATAGATAGTCGTTCACTAGCATCCTCCAAGATCTTTCAACTATCTTAAACTAAAAAATTCAGTGAGGGGACAGTGAGCGCATTCCAAATCGATTTATTGAAACATCTCAGTGGGATAAATGTCAATGATAAATGAAATATGTTTTCTGTGAGGGTAAACGAATATTGATCCAAACGAAAGGAATATCTCTGAAAGTAATATCTCCTTTTATCTCTTTTTGAAGGAATATCTCCTTTTTTGCTGACAGTTATGACGAAATCAATCCGGGAGCATCGTATTATAGATGTTGAATAGGCTGATGAAGCAGTCCTTTTTTGCTGACAATTATGACGAAATGCAAATAATGCTAAATAACGTATCACCAACTGCACCGAGAATCGAACTCAGAATCAATGTTAATAAAACGGAAGCCTTTTCGTCTTATGTGCAAGAAGCTGATAAAATGCCTCTTTTTATAAATTCATTGCCGGTTGAGGAAGCACATTAAATACCTTGGGAGCACTCTAATAGCAAATGTTCAGGCAAAAGACGATATTAAAACTCGTATCACGGCAGCTAGAAATGCGTTCTTCCGCTTGACGAAATCTTTATGGTGCCGCCGTGAAAGCACCATAAAAAGGAAAATTCGCATCTGTATAGTCGTTCGTTCGATCTTGCTATATGGCTCTGAGACATGGCCAGTGAGAGTGGAGGATATCAAGAAGTTATCTGCCTTTGACCACTCTTGTCTACGGTACATATTACGGATCCGTCGAGCGGATAAGATATCACATGATCGCATCCACCTTTCACTTGCATAAATAATGTTATCACAGAGCGTCGCCTTCGCTGGTTAGAGCACGTTCATCGTCGTCCACCACAGGAGTTGACGCATATTTCGTTATTTGCTAAACCATGTGATGGTTAGCGCCAAAACCGAGGTGGGCCAATCTAGACCTGGACTGATACGGTGAGAAAAGATTTTGAACGTATAGGTGGACCAGCAATATATGAACTTAGACGATGGAAAAAGAAATGGCTTCTATTACTGTCAACGACGGCATCAGATCGCGCAGCTTAGAAACGTCTTACCCTTGTAGCTAGGGGAACCAGCCTGACTAGTAATGGTGAGAGCTGTTTAAAGAAGAAGAAAAACGTCGAATAATTAATGCATTTTATCCATTCACAGGAATTTAATTTGATTAAATTGAAGGTCCTGGGATATTGTCCAAAAGATATGAAGGCAGATATTTGTGTGCACTTGAATCGTAAAGTTTTCAACGAACATTCTTGCTTTCGACTGGCTTCAGATGGTTGCTTGAGGCAATTAGCGATGCATTTAGAGGTTTGTTGCGCCACACAATCGAGATTTTTTTATCTTAACAAAAAGTTTTAAAAAACTGATTCTAAGCCACAAGATTTTTTAATCCTTTTTTGTGAGTTTTGAATAAAATCATTTATAGAGTAATCACGCTGCGCCAGGAGATCTTCTGTATCATACAGGTGAATCAGTGGATGCTCTATGTTTCGTTGTATCTGGTTCGCTAGAAGTTATTCAAGATGAAGAAGTAGTAGCAATATTAGGTATGATAGTCAAGCCTCTAGTTTTATAAGAAACTTAATGTGCTCAGTGGCATTTGTTGAAATCTTACTTATCACTGACTTACTTACAGCATTTGTTTTTTTTTTTAATATAGATTTATTCTGTCCCTTTTTCTCATGATTTTTGTCCCATTTTCAGTTTTATTTTCAAATTCTTATGCTCTCACTATTAACATTAGCATAGCGTTATCCCATACTTCTTATAAATATAAAAATTAATAAATAAATAATAACAAGAGATATAGCTATGAAAATTCCCATCCATGAAGTAGTTCTTTGCAAAAAATAGTCATTTCGCTCATTAAAATATGATGCTGCCATCTTTTAGAAATTGTATAATTTCTTATATATTGAAATTTCATCACCATTCGAGAGGAATCAAAATTAGAGTGCCATTTAGTCCGTCTTTGTTTCAATACGCATAATTTTGATCATTGCTTGCAGGAAAAGGAGACGTGTTTGGTGATGAATTTTGGCTTAAGCCAGGAACAGGTCAGAGTGCTGCAAATGTTCGTGCTCTTACATATACAGACTTGCATCTGATTAAAAGGAATGATTTGTTGGAGGTAAGACCGTGCTATCTTTCAAATAATATTTCAAACTCGATCCAAGTTGCCCTTTTTATATATTAGTTGAAATAAGGGGAAAATAAGGCTTCATTTTTATGCTTAGCCATTGTTATAACAGAATAGCGGTAAAGGAATAGTGCATCTTCAAGTATTTTATTAAGTCTGATAATTTAAAATTTTATTAATCGCCGTCTTTAAAATGTTGGAAATTGCCGAAATCAACGCAAATAAATTTATAATAATTTTATAATATAATTTTGTACGGGCAGACTTTAAAAAGTAGATAAATTTATACTTGGAAGTTGTGCATTTGATGATTTTTGCTATGGATTTAGCTCAGACGGAAATTTAGTCAAGGCACTGAATTATTGCAGGTACTCGATTTTTACAAAAATTTTGCGAGCTCTTTTGAACGAAATCTAGTTCTCACCTATAACTTAACTCACAGGGTAAGTTTTTTTTAGGTTTCTTAAGTTTTATTTTAAGCTTTTTTTTCAAGCAGTATAATCATTATAATCATTTAATCGGTGATATTGCAAATCCATGTTAATTGCATAATGTTTTTCCAACGGCACCGCCTAAGCATTAAGCGCGCCAAAATTTATAAAAAATTCTAAGACCATGCTTAAAATGCATGAAATAAACTTTAAAATGGGATGAATCCATATTTCATCTAAAAAAAATTGATTTATTTAATATATTACATAGTTGTTAGATAGTTTTCGTCGAACATCATTCTATTTAAGAAATTTGAACTCGTAAAAAATAGAGGTGTTCATTATGTTCATCCACTTTCTTCTTCCTTTTAGTTAAAGTTTCGTAAAGTTGCTGATGTGAAAAAAGAAAAAGAGCTGGATGAAAGGCGAAAAAATGAGAAGCTGATATTAAGCCCAGATCATCCGGTAAGAAAACTACTGCTTCGTATGCGAGAGCGTCATTGTAGTCGAATATTTCCGACAACATTAATTGTGGATATTGAGCAAGTAAGTATGGCTAGAAATCGCAATATTAATTTTTTTTTTTTCGAATCCTTATTCTTTTGGTTTTTTCGCAATATGGCTCCTAATTGCCGAGAAAAATTTTGGCAGAAAATTTCGGTTCAGTCATCGTCAACTATAAAATAGAGATAACTCGATGCTATAAAAATTAGTACTAAAACTTAAAAATATGTATGGTTTTAAGGCGATCCATGTTCGTTCAAAAAATGCACCTTTTTATTGTTCTTTAGTTTCTGAATATTTTTAAATATTTTTTTGAATCTTACGCATAACCGTATCTATTTTTTGGCTCTAACTTTTCATGAAAATTTTAAAGGGTGTCAACAATAGAGCTGATCATCGCCAAGGAAATGAAATGGTGGGAAATCATATCATTCGACCGACAACAATGTTAAAGAGGCCTTTTTTACGGTCATCAACACTGACGGAGGAAGAATTGGACCAGAGGTTGAAAAATTCAGGAGGCCAAAATTCGGTACAGCCTTTTTTGTAAAAAGTTTAAATCTTCGACTAAATTCCATAGTATTGACTTTTGCATGCTTTTTAAATCGCAATAGAAGTTCAATTTTTGGTTCATCTCACAAGGTTTTCTCGAAATTAAATTTTAAAGATAACTTTAAACTTCATAACTTATTTTGAATTATTCAAAGGAAAAACAGCCAGTGTTTATAGTTTGTGTTTATAGTTTATAGCTTACAGGAATTGCAAATACTTCGTTCCGAAATCAAAACCTATTTTGAGATAATTAATAGTAAGATTTTGCCAATCGATCGATTATTGTCGAGATTAGATGCGATTGAAAGGCATATTGTTGCAACTAGAGGTTATCTTAATGTTTCTTATCGTAGGCCTATAGAAACAATTACAGGCATAAATAAGAACCTAAAAGGATCTGGCCATAACTTGTATTTCATACATAAATTTTATTGGAATATCATCAACTGGTTCAACAAAATATTCTAATATGGTATTTAGCCAAAGAACTGCAGGCGAAAAAATAAATCCTAAGAGGAGTACGATTAGGTCCGACAGTGGTCTGAACACATAATTTTTAAAATTTTATTAGTTTTTAAATTCTTATAATAAGTAAGAATTCAGAAAAAAAAGAATAGGGTAAGAGAAATTTAAGAATAGCGTATGAGAAATTTTTTAAAACTTTATAAACGTTTTCCATAGATCGCTTCGGCAACCAATTTCAGTTTTCTTGCCTAATTAGCCGATAAAAATTTTTCACTGCTATAATCAAACTAATGAAATCGTAGAGAACTGATTGTATTTGTTTTGGTTATAGTCTGTTAATTATAAAATATTATATTTTATAATTATATAATATGATTGTAAAATATTTAATAAATAAGCACCATAGCCTATAATGCCTATAATATTGTATGCAAATCAATTGGAGGTAGGATAGTTCAGTGGATTGTTGCTAAATTTGGAGCGCCGAGGCTGAGGCTCGATTCCAGGAGTAAACCTGTCCAAAAATTCGGGTAATGCATGCGACTCACCTGTACTTCTATCGCCAAGGGGATTCCCTAGCATTGCGAGCACTTACGATATTATTTATTTGCATCCGCTTACCGCTCTTATGCCTCCAAATGCCATTTCCGTTCGTATATATGATAATTCAAAAACTAAAGATCATCGATATCTTTTCACTGAAGAAGTAAAACAAGAAATACTATTAGGTCCCCAAAAAAATGTCTTTGAACATTTTAGTTTATTCTTATTTTTAGAAAAACAATTACGAATGAAAAGGCCATCATTATTATTAAAATTAGGTCGCCCATGATGTGTTATAGCAGAAATGTATAGCATTATTTGATTTTAAATGGCAAAGCGGATGGTCTAATATTTTTTAGTTTCCTTATTTTTTCACTTAAAAAATTGTAGCTCATACAAGTCATACCTATTGCTATTCTTCTTCCAGCAGCCCTCACTTTCTCTCGTTTTATTAGCTTCATTGGCTAGTAAGATGGAAATTTTTTCCCAGAGAGTTAGCTTGAGGTCAAGCTTATGGGTAGATTTCCAGCACCAACTGGGCTCCTCTTTTGATGGCAGGTTTTCCTGGTTAGAAGACAGGAACTAGACAGAGGCCCAATCTTTAGTGTTTGAAGCTATTTTTAAAGCAAATATTATTCAATCAACCATGTTGCTCCAATTTAATGCTTTCATTTCTTCAAATATGCTCTATTTAATATTCCGATTTAAGCAAAGTCAGTTTTTTTACTTAATATATGTTAAAAACATTTGAACAGTTAAGATACATCTCATTAAATTACAAGTTACTTATCAACTGAAATAACCATAATTTAGGCCTCATGCCATCCACTTTGGAAGCTAGTTCAATTCAAGTCCTGAACAGCGAATTATCGAGCCAACAATTGCCTCCAAACAATGAAAATCCCTCGCCTCATTCTTTTTATTTTTCTACAGCTTCTACCACATGCGTTCCACCACTTGTTGAACTTAGCTCTGATGGTGCTTTTGATCTATCAACGAATGCCATTCCAACGATACAAATAGATAATGAATCACTAAGCGGCCGTTCAACGCCACCAAATAGGAAAAGAATTTGAATAGCTCATATAAATAACACCACTACCTTCAATTAAAATGAGTAAATTATTGTACATGTCTCAACAAATGTTTCTCCGTAATCAGTAATGCTACAATGACAATTCGTGAGCACAACAATGGTTCACTGTATCTGGTTTAATGCATATTGGACTAGATATATCTCTATGGAGCTATAATTTTATTCAACTGTTGTAGCTTGTTTTCATTACATTTCATTTGATCTTTTATGATGAAAAGTTCTGGACAAATTATTGCTCGATAATGTAAATAAATATGTATATACAAATGTACATATAAATATATATATATATATGTCATCACAAGCGTTTCAAGTCCTTATTTTGCCTCCTTCAAGGAGTCTCAAAAAACTGAATTTTCTCAGTACTTTTTCTAGGATCAATTTTCTTCATTCATGAAGCATTTTTAAGAACTTTTGAGAAATGTGTAATCCATGTTCAAAATTTCACTTTGAGAGTGATTAAAATTGACATAAATGCATATTTATGTTTAATAGTCATTTTATAATGAAATACCAAGATTACTCACAAAAATGCTTGGAAATAAAGTTTTTAGTAGAAAAAAAGACCCAAAAAAGAAGTAATTAATTGCTTATTAGTAAATTATTATGTAAAGTTATATGAAAAAATGGATTAGCCTATTTTGATTATATATTCCTCCAGGAATCTGGAGAGAAGGAATTTGCATTTGTGAAAGGAATTTGCGGAAGAATTTAGATGAGTGTCATTATGGCTTTAACAATAATATGAAGTGAATTTACAAATAAATTTCTTTTGCAAACTTTGCAATCATGCTTAATTGTCTGTCATAGAAAATTGTCTATTTTTCACTTAGATGGCAGGAAAGCTTATTAATCTTTTTTTTTTTTTTAAACCGCTTAGAAATCCATTTGCCTTACACATAAATTCGATAGCTTTTTCAATATGCAAATAGATTTGCAAGCATTCATTTTCGTTTTTTCAAAACCTAATAATATTATAACATTCGAAGTAAAACGAAGAACAAATTTACGATAAAAATAAAAGAAATCCATCATATTATAGCAGAGAAAGGGATTATAAATTTATAGAAATGACTTGTCCATTAATCCACAAACATATTTTAATGAGCAATCCACAATTTCATATAGAAAACAGGTTTAAAATAGCAAGGAAAACATTCCTAAGCAAATGGCAAAAGAGCGTACAATCCGACCACTCGCTCTTTATTGCTCATTAATCCAACAAGTGTTTTCAGCAGTTTATATAAAGGTTAGGGAATATGTCGAAAAAAATTCAAAAGTAAAATTTAATAAAGGATCGGAGATCGAAAAAATAGTATTATTGACAAATTAATGACAAAATATAAGTAATGAACATCAAAGTTTTGGCTTAAAAATTAAGATGCTAATGTGGTGAAAAATCAGCGTCTAGTTGAGCCGCAACTTATTCGTTATTTCTTTTCACTTACCTATTTTATATGAATATATTTGATTTTAGGGTTCCCTTTCTGAAGGGACCTTTCTGAAGATTAAAACGGCAATTCCCTTGATAAACCTCACATCTTTAATTCTCATCAAGTGCTTGACATTGGTAGCAAAATAAGAATTATGCACAAAATAAAAATATTTGGGAAATTTAGATAACTCATAACTTTAAAAAATAAAGCATAGTGTAAGTAATCTGTGCATATATATTCAACAAACAACAATTATTGCGAAGAAAAGTCGGTATGAAAAAGGCTGTGAAATACATATACATTTTTAATTGGGGCGATTAATTAGCAAAAAATTCTTTGGTTCCTTATCTGTAGGCAAAAAATGAAACAAACCAATAGTTATTGAGCAGGGATTTTTAAAAACAGATGAATGTAATTAAGCTAATAATTAAGAATAATAAATAACTTTCCGAAGTCGATTTGTTTAACCAATATGAATCAAAAAAGTGCTGTCGCCGTTTTAAAGGACTTCCTAAGTAGTTTGAGTAATTTTCGAAACATTTATGAGTGTTACAAGCGTCATTTATGCAAAAGCACCAATGTTCGCTGATATCGAACTAAAAAGAAGATGGATGAGTTTTGACTGATTGCTTGCAAAATAATTTTATAAAAAAATCCCAAAAAACATAAAAACGAAAAATTTACTAAAAACTCGAGCAGTTTTTTACGGCAGAATTTATTACTTTAGACATAGATTCATCTAATAAAACGTTGTGCAGCAGTTCAGTAATCGGCATTAACTAACTGGCTAATGATATATTGGTAAAAATTGTAGGCTAAGGCGAAGCACATTTGCATAGCCGACATGAAAAGTGATTGAGTTGAAAGTTGAACTTTTTTTGGATAAATTGATAGAATAAAAAATAAATGAATTGGTTTAACTGGCCAGAAAATTTCTTCTCATTTCCTTTCTTGTTCTCCGAGGAAAAGTGCTAAATTTTTTGAGTCGGAAAATATGATAAAATATCAAATATAATAATAGAATAAAATAATGCGCTGAAAGATCTATTATAGGCAGTAAAAAAGCGGACCATATCGAAATTAACTGATAAGTAGTTTCTGATAGGCGAAATTTTAGAATGCGATCCAAGAATTATTTGTGAATGCTGATCATTTGTCAAAAACTGGGATGAGCAACCGCGACCAACGCCTGCAATCGTTAATTAAGATTTTTTAATATGAATATGAATCAAAAAAGTATTTTAAAGGACTGGTAGTTTGAGGAGTTTCCGAAATATTTATATTACAAGTGCCATTTGCACAAAAGCACCAATTTTCGCTGATGTGGAATTAAAAATTTTTGTTGGCAGCATCTAAGGATATATATATATATATTATGCATTTATTGCGGCATATTTAAAAAAATATCTGCTAATTATTTAAGAATATGGCTTCAGAACTTTTAATTAAGCTTAAGCAAAGCTATAATCTAAAGATATTTCATTATATTCAAGATTTCTTGGTGTTAAGGAGCAATCAGCGATCAACTATCGAGTGGGCAAAAATTATAGATTCCATTAATGCAATGTCTATTCACCATTGTATTCATTTCGAGCTCATAGATGAAATATTTCTAATTATCATTTTAAGGTCAGCTCGATCGATTTTCACAGTTTTTTCATAAATCTTAACATTATGCTTCCAAGTAAATGTTCTTATCATCGGTGTTTGTTTGTTTCTATTTATTGGAAAACGAATTCGATATAAGCTAAATTTCATATCACAAGTAACCATATAAAAATTATAAACAGGAATGGTGAGTACTCTTAAAAAAACTTAACTCTATTTTATTTCATATAATCAACGTCGCAATATAAGGTTGACGCAATAAGGTGAATTATTCTTGAATGAATGCGATGAAATCAAATCAGAAAAATGGATAAAGAGTTTTTAAACCTATGGCACCGAAAAAAATTGTATAATTTGAAATAGAGTTTCCTAAAACACTCACCTAAAATAGAAATTTTACCATCGTACCGATTCGTTCCATTTAAATATAAAATGAAACATGTTGTAGCGCATGTTTGAAGATTGTATGAATCGTAATCAGGTTTAACGCATCCTTCATCACTCGTCGTTAATCCATAATTTCGTTTTAGGAAAAAATGTCGCCAATGCCACACTATGAAATCGTTAGCGCATGAATAACATCTAAGTGTATATAATAAACTGGGCAAGCTCATTATAATCCAGAAAAATATCAGATTTTTCATCAAGACATCGAGACCTGCAATTGCAAAATATGAAGATACGTACGGGAACAAAAAGGTTCAAATTTAACTGAAAATTAGTTTGCGCTAAAAAAAACATTCATCAAATTTCTAATTAGTTGCGTTTATTAATTCTCACCAACCACTGATTGACAACTGCACTGAATGAAGAATATAAATAGTTCCAGAAAAAAAGAATCTTAGCAACAATTTGCAAAATTTTGCTGCGAAATTTAGGGAATCTATTTTTTCGAAAAACTGATCTGAATGCAAAAAAATTTTTTGGAAAAAGCGAGGTTAATTTTAGTAGCTGGACTTTTTACCATTTATTAACTTAATACTTAAAGAATTTTTCTGCATTAGCAAAGTGTTTCATCGAGAACAAATCAAATAATCCGGAAAATAAAAAAAAAATGAGAATTTGCAAAAATGTCGTAAAAGAATACCATGTATAGAATTAACCGCTTACTTGTATAAAGTGGAAGTCAAAACATACAGGACCAGCCTAATTTGTTCAAAAATATGAAATGTTGAAATTCATTTAAAGCGCAAACGGCCTGTATAACATGATCTCCTTCTTTATACATGTGAAAATAGGGATGAGGCATTTTATATATGAAAGTTATTAAATCTGCTTAAATTACTAATATTTAATTAAAAGACGAATTAATCCAAAGTCAAATAGTTAATTTGAAATAAACCATCGAGTATAACTAAGAATATCGATTAAGATTCCTATAATAAGGGACAATTTCAGAAGAAAGTGAAAGGCAACAAATGATTTAAAAAGTTTTTCCTTAAAAATTTTCAATTCATTTCACTTCAAATTTTTGTTAAAAAAATTCTAAAATTAAGTATTTGTGCTTGTTTAACAGAGATTTGTAATTTCTATTTGCACATTTATGTATAATAAATTCGCTAAAATCCATCTTCCCTTCATAATAAACGAAGACCATTGTGTTGAGTGAAGAAAATTCGACATTCTCTTATTGATTACCCGAGATTTTTTAAAAAAGTTGACAATAAATGGTGACTGATTCTCATTCCCAAACTGACTAATAAAATTTATTTAATTTATTTAACACGTCATAAGAAAGAAGTTAAAATTTGGTAGCAAAGAGAGAAAAAAGCATAAGCGAACATCGTTGCAAAGTAAGCAAGCATTCGCACATTTTAGCATCAATGAGCTTAATAATCGGAAAATCATGATATACTGCTAAAGCTTAAAACTTGAAGTAATTGTCCATTCATTTTCACTTTTTTCAACATTTGGTTAGAAACACTTTAATTCACCTCAAGCGAAATTTTTTAAAAGACTTTTCGAATTCAGAATTTAAAAAAAAATTTAGTTGCTTAATTGCTCATATCAGATGCACCAGAGATACCTTGCATTTTTTAAAAGTATATGATAATCCAATTTCACAATTTCACATTCATAAAAACATGAAATTTTATCGATTCAGGAAAAATATATAATTTTAATATATAATTAAAAATATATAATATTTTCTGCTATTCTTTCAGTCAATGCCTTCGGCTTTTTTTTTATTAAGTCAAAACCTTTATGGACTTTTATAAAGCTAATTTAATACTTTAATAAAAGAATGTGATTAAAAATACACAGGAACAGCATAACAGCATAACGCATTTTTAATGCACACTCGAAATGTGATATTCTCGATCACTGTTTCATAAATCTGGATGGATTTTTAAACTATCATTTCGAATGCTAGAAAGCGAAAGTTCAATAATTAACATAAAAAATTTCTTTTGCATCGCGATATTAACCCAATTGGATTATTTAAAAAATATTGTAGCGAAACGTAATGTTTTCAATTCATATTATTTCATAAATGATTTTCACTACTTCTGATTAAATTCGCTTCATTGGCTGATAGCACGGTGAGAAATTTCTACTAGAAACTTCAACTAGATTTCTTAACGACGATTTATACCTGCAGGAAATGAGCCTTCATGCTCGAGAGGATGGTCCAAAACCATTTTTCAGTTATGTCCCTATGATAGTTTAACAATTTATGAGATTCTAATAATACGAATTAATTTTTAAGAATATATATTTCGAAATAATTGAGTTTTCTAGATGGAAGAATTCAAGCGGAAAAATACGAAACGATGCCAAGGATGAAGAGAATTTCTACCTTGTTATTTTTCTCACTAACATAAATTGTTCATTAAAAAATTTGAAGTGAAAAATTTATATATAAGGAAAACTTCGTGCTAGCTTTTTGATAAAAATGCGCAAACTCTTCTTATTTCATAACGATAATGAAAAATATGTGAGCAAATGAATGAGCAAATCGTTTAATTGATTGATCATTTCTTCCCACAATTTATTTAGATTTAAGACCATGGAAAAGGAACTGTTAATTTTTTTATATTTACTTGAACATTTCACCATGACTACGAAAAAACAACTAAAACAGATATTTTACTATGATTTCTCAGATAAAAATGCCGTAGTTAATGTACTAATAGAAATTCCATATACTATTAGAAATGTACGTTAATATAGTTAGAAACATGCGAATGATAAACGGTGAAACAACTGTCTTCAAAATGACATATATGACAAATGACAAATGATAGGAAACATGTTGAAATAAATAGTAAATATTTTAAGCATAAATACAATATCGAACGAGATTGGAATAAAATTTCTGCGATTGGCATCTTAGTCCAATTCATATGAAGTGGAAATCCGCCTATTGTTCGCATGTGAATTTCGTTAATCGAAACAAAAAGAGAAGACGATGCGTTGCTTCCACTCAGATCCACTCATCTTAGTATTTTCTCCTATTATATTATATAAGTCGAAAAAAATCATCCGAATTCACATCAGCGACAAAATTCTGCTCCAAGATTTTTGAAGGAAATCTTGGACCTGGTTTGTAAAAAAACTGCATACTAAGAAAAAGTAATTGAAGATTAGTAGCACTGATTAACGCCATTACTTTGGGGAAAAAACAGAAATGAGAAAACGAAAAAAAATCGCAAATAAGATTTTGATAATCGCATTAACAAAGGAAATGATGAGCGAAGCATATTAAGCCAATCGAGACGAAAATATTCAATGGACTGGAACTTTTTTTATCTGCCGAAATTGAAATTATACCAACGAATCCAAAATAAAAGAGCAAATTTAATGTTCAATATAATTCATCATTTTGCATTATTTCAAAAATGATATTTTGAAACGAAAAATTAAATCTTCACAACAAATTGCAAATTTTTATGATTTTCCAACATCAGACAAAACTCTCAACTAATTTATATTTCAAAAATAAGTTTATCAAAAGTCGATGAAGAATATTTTATATTTCTCAAACAAACCAAGCATTTCTTCCAAAGATGATCACTTTTCAGCTACCAAATAAAACGTTCTTCTTATTTGATGTAGCAGAAGGCCTCAAAAATTTTGCGAAATGAGATTTTGATTGATTGTGCACGATATATAATAATGCCCTTCTTTGCATACGTCCTTTAACCCTTTTCCTATTGTCGTCCTTTAACGCTTCTCACTCGTTTTTCTTATTTTTCAAATTAAAGACAAACCAATCAAATTCACTTCAGGCTAAATTTATTACTACATTCATATCCAATTACGAATTTTATAGATCGTTTGAAGTTAATGAATAATGAAGATTAAATAATGAATTTATATGATTATCTAGATTTTTATTTCTCATTACAGAAATTAAATATGAATTCCTTAAAATCAAAATCTCTCCCAAATTACCACGTTTTTATAGATTTTCATAAAAATTAAGCATAGTTTTAATAAATTGCCACTTTTGCGAAAAAATTGCGAATTCAGGCTGCGCTTATTTCTTTAAACCAGACAAACTACCTTATACCAAAAACTATACCAACATTTGAACTTTTGCAACAAACTATCAAAATAAAATTCACTATGTTTCCACTTCGTTTAGAAAGATAAAGATAAAACATGAAGAAAGGAAGGACTGTAATATTGTTGCCAAAGTAATTTGAGATTAAAATAGACGTCTCGAAAAACATATTTGTCATCATTAATACTTCTTCATTCATTTACATCAAAACAATCGTTCATTATCGCAGTACTGAAACGGGAAGTCTTCATGGATTTGACCATGTTATGGACTGAGCCAAGATCTGCATAAAATTGATAACTTGCAGAAAACAGCATCCTCCAAGTTCTTTCAACTATCTTAAACTAAAAAATTCAGTGAGGGGACAGTGAGCGCATTTCAAATCGATTTATTGAAACACCTCAGTGGTATAAATGTCAATGATAAATGAAATATCTTTTCTGTGAGGGTAAACGAATATTGATCCAAACGAAAGGAATATCTCCGAAAGTCAGCCATTTCCATGTTAGGGCATACAAATTGGAAGTTTGCTGATTGTATATCGGAAACAACTGTCCAACTATCTGAAAATGATCCCAAAGCACGAATGTCCTGATTACCGGATGCTTCGAAGAATTGTGACAACAGCAGCAGCACGGCGGAACAGAAATCACTGTTGGAGTGACATGCCCTTGAGAATGGAGACGATGGCTTGCTTAGGCAATAATAGGAAAATATTCCACCTTCTTCATAAAGCAACCATAATTCAGGGAATGATTAATGAAATGGTAAGGGATAGCAATAGTGTTCCTGTTAAGAATATCAAGGATCACCTCATAAAATAGCAGAAATTCTTTGATGCCAGACTTAACCATGTTGCGCCATCTGTTGATCTGGATACAGCTGATAAGTTCGCCGAACCATACATTTGCAATTGGGAAGAGCCAACAGAAGAAAAAATAATAATCTCCGTTGTTAATAAGTTTAAGACCAATAAGAGAGATGTTCTTCGGACTGAGCTTTTCAAATGTCTCCATCGTTTTTCATAATGTATTCTCTGTTATGAAAAAGAAATATCACCAGATGATTGAAGCAAAGCAATTCTGCTCCCAATTCTCAAGAAAG